TGCTGGAGCGAGTGGCCTTCTACGGCATCACCTCCAACCTGGTGCTCTTCCTCAACGGGCCTCCCTATGACTGGGAGGGTGCCCAGGCCAGCCAGGCCCTGCTGCTCTTCATGGGCATCACCTACCTGGTGTCACCTTTCGGTGGCTGGTTGGCTGATGCCCTCTTGGGCAAGTTTGGCACCATCCTGCTCAGCATGGCGCTCTACCTGCTGGGCATGCTGGCCTTCCCCGTCATCGCCGCACCGCACACCCGCCAGGGCCTCTGTGGGGACATCCCCTTGTTCCCCGTAGAGAACTGCTCCTCTCCAGCGGGCAACGCCACCATGGCACCTTGCTCCCAGGTGGGAGCCACCCGCTACTGTGCCACCGCCACCTTCGTCGGACTGGTCCTCGTGGGGCTGGGCGTCGGGTCAGTCAAGGCCAACATCACCCCTTTTGGGGCAGACCAGGTCAAGTATTATTTGGCAGCGGCTGAATCATTTGTGGGTGCCGATCTGAACCAGGGGGTGGCTGTCAGTCATGCAGAGGGGCTTGCCTTGGTGGGATGGACAGCGCGCCTGCTGATTCACATCTCTGTAGGTGTTAAGTCTCAGAGGGAATCCAGCTTTGCTCCTTGTGTAATGCAAGCTGTTAAGTGGTACCCTGTTAGATATAATTTTGGTGTCTGTCTGGTGTCTGATCTCTTGTGACCCTTGGTTTCCTGGTAGCCCTGCCTTACTTGTGGTACCTGACTTGGCTAGGCCATGACCATCTTGAGGAGTTGTACTTAATGGGCATTAAGTGGATTGCTAATTATCTTCCATTGTACCCAGTTGGTACCCAGTTAATTTGACCTCAGAGGTCATCAGGTGAAATATCCGATACACATTTTAGCTTTGACAAAGATAACATGGACCTTCTACGGCAGTGGTCTGAGGTTTTTATCATCCTGTGATAAGGATATAGAACAAACATTTTTTTATGCTTTAGGTATTCTCTGTGTACTGCACTGTGCCCTTGAGCGATATATTTGTGCAGGCTGATGTTGTGCTGGATGACGAGTGAGAAGGTACTAAACATGGTAAACATATTACCTGGGCTGTTCTCATAAGGACATGTCCTGTCAAACGACCTCATTCAGATCCACTTCAGTGCGATCACTCGTCGGATCATCACTGCAGAACCAAGTGGCTTTACAGAAAGTATTTGAGAGACGGCTCATGGTTCACTGGAATTCCCTGTTGCATGTATTTTTTACAATCTTATGCTAAGGTACTATGCAGACTGTGGATGTTGAATTGGGGTATAATTTCTGCGTTACAAATTGAGAATTCCAGATGCTTAGCTACTGAGCAGCTTTTCTAACCAAACCACTCTTGATGGTAAAGCAAGGGAGATACCTCTGATCCAGTTGCATGTCTGTTTGCTGGCTCATTGAGTTCTGGTTAGTGCAGCTGTCAGAAATGCCATGAAATTCCTTGTGAGAGGTAGGATCTACCACAACATCTTTGCCAAACATACCTCTCTTCTCTGTTGTGCAGTTTACATTTGTCATTACTTGGCACTTGGCATATATTAAATTCTGGAGTTCTGGGTGAAAGGCAGTATATAAATGTAAAACATTATTACAGCCTTGGATCGTGTGTCCCTGGTGTATTGGTTCTGTTTAAGCCAGCATGAGCCCATCAAGTGAAATAGCTTTAATATGACTTTATCTTGTAAGGTGTTTTTCAAAACTGACTGCTTATCCCCAGAACACTTTATGAACGTTAAATATGAGAGAGAAATAATGGCAGGAACAGAGCAGAAGAAGAACCATTGCTAATGGAAGTGTAGCTGTTGTAGCTGGGTTTTTTAAAGGCTTTCCCCCCAGGATTTCACGGAAAGCAGTTTTTTGGCTAGGTTTGCGGATAATTCACAGTGATTTATGTAGGGTGAAGCAGAAGAAATACTCCTTTCTGGTTCATAATAATCAGTAGAGCTCTGCTGAGGACTGAATTTTTCCCTTTCTCTGTTTTTCTGCCTTATCTATTGTTAAATGTATTACAGCACACCACTTACCTTGTGCAGTTTTGGGCCCTCTTGGGTGCCTTCTCCCTGCGTAGGAATGTAGCAGACTGCTGGGTGGATGGATATATATTGCTGAGAATAAAGTCTGTCTTCCAGAGTCGCATTCATGGGAGGCCAGAATACAATGCAATACAATGCAAGCATTTCTTGGCTGGACATGTGCTGTTAAGATTTGTCTTTTTTTGAATACCAAACAAAGGAAAATATGAATTGTATCATCGTGTACTTTCGCTGACACGAACCAACTTTCAGATACTTTTAATTACATTTCATTGCATATCTCTTAAAAATTGCCATGTAATTTTTTCACTTTTCATGGATTATTTGCGTGGAGAACCCAAATATAATGAGGGGTTTTTATTTAGAAGAAAAGAATGACTTTGTGGAAAATTGGAAACTAAATTCCAACGCTTATTTTGCTCTGAGATTAAAAAGATGTAGTTTCTTAATTTCTGTTAAATGTATGCTTTTAGAAGTGCCTTTACAAGTAACTAACTCGACTTTAGACAGTTTAGAGTAACTTTTGCCAGTCACCTTAGCAAAAAAGCAGTTACTGTAAACTAGGTATAAACCAGCTTTACTTAACTGAGTTTCTAAATCAGAGCAGTTTTTCTAGAAGGTGCAGGTCGATCCATCGTACAGCTCTAAATCTGAGCTGGTGGTTCTCAGAATAGCTTTTCTAATCATGTGATGAGTATAACCTGGCACTTTCCAGTTCCCCTTTTAAGTGCGAGTGTTCTGCAGTCACTTCCTGTTCAGTGGAGCAGTTGGTGACTTTCAGTAGTCAGGAAACAATGTGACTCTCCCTCCTTATTGTGAAAGCTGGTTTAGCTTCAGCACTGAAGCCACCATTAGTAGTAGACTACTGATCTAGTGTCAGCTATAATTAATCTGTTTTGGGATTATGGTGATTAGAGATGTTAGTTTTAACCCCCCGTAGATCTTCTTTCTGATTTGCTACCAGTCTATAACCTGCCAAAAATCTTACAGCTTTGCTAAAACCATTGCTGTTACAGTGACATTGCCAGAGTCAGGACAGCTTGGAAATCGCTGCTGCAAAGATGGCTGTAGAGTGATTTTTCAACCTTTTTATTTAAAGTATTTATTTGTAGAACTTAGATTTTCCATCCTCTGGGGAAGGATGGCGACAATGTGAAAAGAATTGAAGGTCACTAAGTACAAGTTACTTTTGTTCTTGTTGTTGAACTTCCTAAGAGACTGGTGATGTCTAAGAATCTACAGATAACAGTTTGAAAACTGAAGTTGTGGCATTCACATGAGCAGTACTAATTTGGTCCTGACAGCAATGTGACACTAGTGAGATGAAGCACACTTGAAAGGTGGATTGGCCAAACTTTAGTATAAAAAATTGGTATTATGTAGCAACTGAGTAGTACTGTGTAAGTCTGTTACTGAGCTCTGTCTAGATGCTCTCAAAGAATAACGGGTGTCTGTAGTGCTGGATTAGGTCAGAATTCTGTAAATTTGGCTGCGGAAAACTATTGGCATTGCTCTTACTTTTGTAGGCTAAAGATGAGGGTAAGCTTCATGATTGTCATTGTTTCTGTTGTGTGAGTGCTCAGAGGTGACTGGGATACGTTTGGGGGGTTTTGTTGCATTTGTAGCTTGTGACTGTCAGTTGATTGTAGGAACAAATTAAAACAGGTAGTGTCAGTAACTTTTAAATAATTTTCTTTTTCCTTCTATGTGAGTTAAAACAGGAGACTATAGCTCTGGATCTGTGATGACATGAAGAGGGAGAGAGGGAAGATTATGACACACTGGAACTTTGAAATGTTGGGGTTTAGGAAATAGTTGAGATCATTAGCAGGTGATGTCAGAAATGGGATATCTCAGTGGAATGGGAGGCACTAGATAGGCACTAGCTGCAGCAGAAATAGGAAATCCTGTGGATAACCATTTCTAATAGAGAGCTACGAAATTACTGTGTGACAAACCAAAGCATCAAAATACAGAAACTATGGAAAAGCAATAATGCTGGGATAGATTCCTGGCTCTTTACATAAAAGTCAGGAGAATCGGTGTAACAGAAACTTGATATTTGAGCTTGATATTTTTATTTCAAGCTATACAAAGTGCTTTGGTTAATACTTGGATCGTCTCCTAAGAAAGATGTTGGTGTTGAAAAATCCAGGGGAGGGATAATTTAGCAAGTGATCATCTTTCCTTTAAGTCAGAATGAGGTCCAGGTTTTAACCTTAGGGACCTGTGGAAGTTGCTGTCGGTCAGGTACTTTTAATGACTTCTCATTGGGTGTTGAAACTAAAGGTGTGGTTACTCTTTCTCTCTGTTTTAGTTGCATTTCAAATTCTGTCCTGAGTGCAAGATGTCAACCTTACATCCTAAATGAGTTTAGAGCATTGCAGTGCAGAGTTAAACAGCTGATGTGCCCTCTGCTGAAAGTGGCTGTAAATAAGCTAATGATTACACACTTCCCATAAAGTAGTGTTCCAGGCATGCAGGATTCTTTATCATGAAAACTGTGCTCATACTTACATCTCATCTGACCACAAGCAGTCTGATAGAAATGTTTTGTATTATGAATTTTGATTTGGAGAGCTATTCCTTTACTGTTTCAAAACTCAGTGCTGTGTAGGTCCCAGTTATAAAACTCAGAATGTCACTGTCTTTTTCTTTCTGCATTTGGATTAACAGATTTATCTAGAAAAACACCTTTTGTACTGTAGAAAAATCAAATGTAAGGTTAGATTTTCTTTTGCAAAAGCTTTGTTAGATGTCTTGAAATTAGCAACATTATTTTATTTCCTCTTTAGAGGCCCACCTGAAAGTGGGCAGCATTGACATGTAGCCAATGATCGACAAAGCAGTTGTGGCCAGAATGCTTAGTTACTCATTTCCTTAATTTTTTCATTGGCGGGGGTTTTTGGTGGAGATTTTTTGTGTAGTTTGGTGGGGCAGGGGGTTTTTGTGGGGTTTTTTTTGTCCTTGTTTTGTTTGTTGTTGTTTTGTTTGTTGTTTTGTTTGTTTGTTTGTTTTTTAATTTGCCCTGTAGTTTAAAAGAGGAAAATTTAGGGCAATCGCTTCTTGAGCAGTACAGTAGGTCATTCTGTATTTTTACTGAAGTAGAAGCACTACTGGATTGTTCCTTAGTGTTCTTGGAAAAGGATGTGCTACCCCATTTAGTAAGGAAAACAGGTGTGAAAGACTGGAAGGATGCAGAACAGTGAACTGGAGACTCAGGACTGGATATTATGTACTGAGAGTTGATCTCAATAAGTGGCAGCTGTCCAACACTGGTATCTTCTGTGGAAATTGTCTGAATACGAGCTCATTTGCAAAACTGTGTGTTACTTAGAGCAAATAAATTGTGTATATTTGATAGTTGCTATTGTTCATTCGAGTCAGGGCACCTTGGAAACCGTTTTATTACAGTGTGTTCATTCAGTGACAGGAAGCCTTGCACTCCAACCATGGCATTTCACTGATACTGTTTGCATTTTCCTCATGTAAGGATTTTAACTAAAACATGGTAAATCTAAAAAGATGACACTTTTCATACCTTTTAGGCACTACTGCTATTTTTAAACTGGATGTTTTTTTGTGTGATGGGGACAAAATCTTTTAAATGTACCTGTTTTGACTTTCAGTGCAGGGATGTGGAACCCTTAGAAGCCCACAGGACAGATTCAGTCCAGGACCCACATCACCCTTGTGCCATTTACATGCATCATTTTCCTGCTGCAGTTGCTGGTAGGATGTTAAGGATATAATGAAGTTGGTGCTGGTACCACAAGGAGAGTGCTGCTATGCTTGAGCACAGATGAAATTGAGCAGAGGGAGTGGTAGATTTTTCTTTCTGCTTGGGTGATTGGAAATAATGCAAGCATAAGAAGGAAAAGAAGAGTTCCTGCAGTTTTGTGAAAAATACTTGTGCTTGATAAAAATTAAATAATAAAATTTGAACGTGGTTTTCTTCTTCTTGGTCTCTTATTAAAATGTAGCGTCTACTTATGAAGAGAATAAACCGATCCATTTTGTGCTGCCACACAGCTCAAGTAATAGCCAGCCAGGGGAACTTTGAGTAGGCTGCTGTAAATGTAATACAGCTAATATTTTGGGTAGCCAATGTGACATTTGAAAGGAACTACAAGGATTGCCTTTTAACTCTACTGTGTTTTTCTGGTTTTGGTGAGACATTCTTCCACTTTGACAAGATACTCCAAGACACATCTTTGACAAGGTGTGATTTTTAGTGCATATATATCCTTAGATAAGGAGGCAGAAAATGGATTTTTCTCATTGTAAGTTGGTGGTGTGTCTGTCACTTGAGATAGTGCATTCACTTGAGATAGAGCATTCCTTTTTGGTCCCTGTTTCAAAAGGGATACTGGGGATGGGGAAGGAAGCTTCAGGGAAGGGCCACTGACTTGGTGAGCAGTTTCCATGCAAGGAATCATCAAACAGTCTACAAGTTCCTATCTCTGAAAAGGCAGAGAGAAGGAAGATGGGACAGTGGTTTGTGGAAATAGTGGTCAGGGAGAGAGGGGCAGAAAAAGCCCAGGCATGGGATGAAGGTCAGCTGTGGTCTGTTGGTTCCTGGAACTTGGTAAAACACGGGAGTCTACTACAGGGCAGGTTCAAAACGTACAGAAGGAGGTGGTTCTTCCCACTGTTTAATTAGCTGGGGAACTCATTGCCACAGGATGTTATGGATTCTAAAAGCTGATCTGGGTTCAGAGGCAGGCTGGACAAGTTCAAGGAGAGATCTGCTGTGTTTGTTAAGTAGATAGAAGCTGTCCTTGGTTCAGGAGCTTGGGAGCTAATGAGTGGAAGCTGGTGTAATACCTGATAGAAGCATCATGCTGTGCTTGCCCTGTTCTTACCTGTTTCAGAGTTTACTTTCCCAGCTTTTCTTTGCATAGATGTGAGCAAAGTCATTTGTAAGGGGGATGATGTGAAGTCATCTTCCTTGCAGAAAGTATAAGAGCATTGAGGCTTTATGACTTAGAAATGGAAAGTTCATAAGATAGATTGCTAACTCTTTATGTAAGTTGGAGCACTGTGTTTACAGCATAATTGTTTGCTAATATCCTGCTGCCATGTGGGCTTCAGAAGGAACTCCTAGCTTGATACACTACTGCAGGTGATGACTGCTAACATTAGGAAATGAGTACCAAGTTGAAACTGGAAAGGGAGAATTATTTGGATTTAGGCTCTGAGATTGTATTTGTGTTGCTAGCAGACCTATCCAAATGGCTAACAATGTTATGAACTACGCAGAGGAATAGATGCCTTAATATTTCTTTTGTTAGGCGTGGTTAAATGGTACAGATGGATTTGTGCACCACTGAGAAACTTGAAGCTGTAAATCAGAACTGAAAATATTAAAAACTTACTTCAAGATACAGCTTGCTTTTCATATTGCAAACTAGACACAGATCTTCGGAAGATGTGGCAAATGAGGAAGGGAAACTTGCAATTAGAAATAAAAACCAACTGACTCAGCAAGACTGGTACACGGCGCTGCCTTGCTAGTCACTGTTAATGGCCTTTCAGTCAAAAAGCAGTGACAAATGTGACATTACAAACTCTTCTAAAAACTAGTTGATCTTTTTAATGTAGTTCAGATTTTAACTTGCATAATTTCTCTTACATCGTATCTTATGAGTGATGCTGGGTTCCTGTGACTTAATTAGAAAACATGGGGTGACTTATGGCAGGCGATAGAGAATAAAGAGCGATGGTGAAAACGGTACAGGATAATTCTGTAGACCAAGGATGCCTTTACTTTCACTGGAGAGACACTGAGAGCTTCAAGTGGAAAAACAGCTCTATAAACAGTGCTGACTTGATAGAGGGATAAATGTTTACTGAGGCCTTGTGACACCTCAGGCAACCCAAATTTAATCATTTTTTTTAAAAAAAAGGTCAGAATGGCAAGTCTTCAATTGATGTTGTGATGAGAGGCATTAGGACTGTGTTAAAATTTAAATTTGTGCTTTAACTACCAAGTAGTCATTTGAGGCTTAGAAAGTGCAATATGGTTAACTGTTACATGTACACAGTTGGAAGAAGCAATTGTTTCGATACTTCTAATACATTAATTTTTAGGTAGCTTAACTTCTATTTTTTTAAACTAACAACTTAGCAATTTCAACCTCTGTGTGGACTGTGGGACATTAATCTGAGGGAGCTTTGTCTAGAGAAATGTCCAAATGAGAGACAGTGCAGTAGGAATAATAAGGGCCTCCATGGGGAAGCTATGTACTTTAGTATTGTATGACTTTTATTCCCATGCTGAATTTCTAGAAGGTCACTGATATAATGGGGTAGCTCAGTAGGGTGTCATTTCATCAAATACCACGCTAAGCCCAAAACATTTAAATCATTTCAATATGACTCTAAATTAAACCTAAACTCTTCAGTGCATTGAACTTGACTGAATTCTAATAAACAGGCTTCATTTTCTTCAGAAATTGAATGACTTGTTTTTAATCTTTTCCAGGTCAAAGATCGAGGTCCAGAAGCCACAAGAAGATTTTTTAATTGGTTTTATTGGAGCATTAACTTGGGAGCTATTCTCTCTCTGGGAGGCATTGCATACATTCAACAGAATGTGAGCTTTGTTGTTGGATATAGTATCCCAACAGTTTGCATTGGGATTTCATTCATGGTTTTCTTATGTGGTCAGAGTTTCTTCATCACAAAACCGCCTGATGGTAGTGCCTTCACAGACATGTTTAAAATTCTCGCATATTCTTGTTGCTCAAGAAAGAGACATGTGGAACATTCAGCCAATAGGTTTGTAATGAGCTCTTTTGTATAGTCTGAATTCAGTGAATCAGCCTAAGAGTTGGAACTAGTTAGTTCAAACCAGCTGGCAGTAAGTCACACTAGGCAGTACACTAGAATATGCAGTTTTGCTTTGAGAGCTGGAAGACTGAAGTCCTGGAGGTGTTTTCTGAGAGTTCTGGGATGAACGTGGGGCACATTTTGAGATCACTGGATCCCCATGCTGCAAGATCAAGTCTGCTGTTTTCCATTGAATGCTGTATCTTGCCAGTTCAGAGTTTCTGAACACATAATGTAATCCAAATATGCTGCTTTTAAACATTAGTTAAGTTTCTTCTCTGTTTAGATATGTTTTTGGGAAGCCTTCTGATTTAAAAAACACTATAATCTGCATTTATGTTGTAAGTGGCTTGATAGGTAGCTAAAATGTTTGCTGGGTTTCTGCTTTCCAAGTTTCTCCATCCTCAAGAGATGCCCATGAAATACTGGTGGCTGAATTTAGTCAGTGATGATAAGAGATGTCAGGTGCCCCCTCTGCAACAGGCTTTCATGTATTCAGATTGCAAAGCAATTCAATGAATTAGAATAACCTATGTTTTGTGGTACTGTTTCTTTAGTTCTACATATTGCAGTGCCAGTTATTTATGCATGGTGGGAAATAAGGACATTTTATAATGGAAGTTTTCAGCTTGTGCTTTAACCTGCCGCTGATCCATTGTGGCCTAGTTGTTTTGCTGTTAAGAGTAACTTATTTGGAAATGCTTGAGCTTTTTATAATGAAAAGTGCTACCAGATTGCCAGTAAAGTCAGATTTTGTTGCTGTTTAACTAAACGTTTCAAATTCTTTCCAAAAGTGAAGGCCAGGGAGTACTTCAGCAACCTCGCAAGCAAAGCCTCTTTGAGATGGCCAAGCTGTCTCGTGGGGGCCCATTCAGAGAAGATAAAGTAGAAGACGTGAAAGCTCTTGTCAAGATTATCCCTGTCTTTTTGGCTTTAATACCTTACTGGACAGTGTATTTTCAAGTGAGTAGTACCTAATGGTTACATTTTTATTTAACGTGTCTAAAGCCCAGGATTTCATTAGAATGTCATTAAAGCCCATAACTTCCTCATCTCCCAGTTGCATTTGAAAGGTACTGGGGGTGCTACCATTCAGTTGCAGGTCTGAGCTTGTTATAAATCTAACTCCTGCCTGAAAATTGTCCCCCAGAGCAGTTACCTGGAGGAAACACAAAAGCTTTTGGGGGATGCTGTTCTGTAAGGTCTACTAACAGTTAGCATTCAGTAGCTGGCATTCTAAAGAAGATGAATATTGAGGATTTTTCAGCACCTCTTGTATTGACAGTTTGATTTGTTTAATACCCATGCGTTCAATACTAACTGTTTTTCTTTCAAATACCTGGGGTTGCATCTCAGGAATCATTTTAATAATATTATGTTAGCAAAACCAATACCGTGTGATAGTAGCTGCTTCTGAATTTTTTTATTTGCTAGATAAAACTACTATGGAAAACTCTGAGCTTACCAGTATGCCAGAGTATCTAATTTCTTAGTTTTGTGGGGGCTTATTCATAAATCTGAAACTTACCCTGAAGCTGAGACATGAAAAATGGCTACTAAGATAACTTTCAAATAATATTTTGACTTAAAATCATTAAAATGATAGTTAAAACTAACAGTTGTACAAATTTCCATATCTTAAATACTGCGCTCTGATTCATCTTGCAGTTGATTTGGATAGGTCAGGGTAAGTGGTCTAGATTTTGTTTTAATTAATTCCTTTCCGGTTTCTGAATTAGAGTAGCAAATAATTTTGAGAGTAAAATATGTAGAAGCTGGTTCAAGGTCACATGAATGATTCTTTGTGCTTTTAGTAAAAATGTAAGGGTTAAAAAAACATCTTGTACTGTTCTAACAAGAATTATTTTTGTTTTGCTATATTAGCACCTTACCTCTGGTGTAATCTTTTTAGTCATTAAAAACATCTTGCTCTCAGTACTCCCTGTCCAAGTAATCTCCACTCATCTTTCTGAATGCTAGATGCAGACAACGTATGTGTTGCAGAGTCTCCATCTGAAAATTCCTGAGATATCAAATGACACCAACTCTATTCATACGGTAAGTGGGGCAAAATAAGCGACAAGTATGTTTTACTTAGTTGAAAGGCAAAATAGGTAAGTATTGTACCAAAATTCCCAGCAGTTCAGGGAGTGACTAAGGGGAATTGATGGCCACAGACTTTGGGTATTTAGAAGCATGATGCATAATACAGAGATTTTGGCATATCTACCGGTATATGGAGTTCACCCCATCCTGTTTTGAAAGTATTCAGCTAATTTTCACTGCTTTAATTAAGCAAGTCTTTGTCTTTTAGCAGGCAAAGTATAATCTTCGAAGAAAGGTTATAAATCTATATGCTCTAAGTTTTCAAAGTAGTACAGAAGCATTCCTACAGACTCAGTAGCAATACCCATACTTAAGTGAAACGTTACTATTTTCAAATTTGGAGATACATTTGTAACTTTATACTGCTTAATCGATAATCACTTTACCTTGAATCAGTTTAGCACATTGAAGGAAGTTGTTCAATCGATATTTTTCAAGAAAGGCTGGCATCACGAAATTGCAGAAACAGTTCTGAGAAATAAAAACAAAAAGTAGGAATGTAAGTTATTAACAGGCTTACTAGATGTTCTTTTAAAATTAGGTTTCTTCTGTTTTATTTAAAACTAGTATCAGTAAGACAGAATGGTTTCAGTCTCTTTTTTTACAGATCAAAAATGAAAAATGCTTATACTTAATTTTTCTTTGAACTTGCTTGACTACTGAGCTGCTTCTGAATCACCAGTGTTTAGTGATGCTGGCTCAGAACTCTAAACCAACCAAATGCAAATTTCCTTGCAAATTTCCTCAACCAAGTTCTCAGCTTGTGTATTTGATTTTATTTTTTGCATAGTTTTTGGGCATGGAAAGCCATTGCCACTTTCACTTCAAGGTTCAGTTTTGTCATGGTTGAATTGCATGTTCATTTAAAAATAAGATATTTTCTTATTCAAAAATGCTAATTAGGTTTGTGTTGTAGTTGCATCAATTTTAATTGTGGATTGCATTCTAGGTGGTTGTTTTTATAGTATGTACCTAATTCTACTTTAATACACGTTAGTATATTCACATTTTGGTATGTAACCCGTTTTACTCTTTTCACTGAGCTTTTCACAATTCTTTATGGCTCGCAAAGGAGAGAGGACTCAGGTTTTTTCCCACTGGTATGAACCATGTGATTGTCTGGTTGCAACATCATTTTTGGACTGGAGAAGGGAATTTCCTTTCTTCTAACAAAGTGTCCTATTGTCTGAATATTAAAAATAAAAATTCTGTCAGTGCCTCAGTTGTGTGGTGGTTCTTGTTTTGTTTTGAAATGCTTTGCTGTAATCTGACAGCATAATTCACATAGGTTAATTTGATTTTTACTGTCTTCCTTGGTATGCGGTCACCTGAAGGATGCTGACCTGCAGTCTGCATTATGGATGTAGTGTCTGTCAAAGCAATTCTGAGTACTTTGGTTTCTCCAAATTGAAGTGATTTGAGGTAATTAAGAAAAGGGGTGGTAATACAACATTTTACACAAGCAGCATTGTACCTCTTCAGGTCCAGGTTTTCCTTAAGCTCTAAGTACCTCTGCCCAACACTAATAAAGACATATTTTCTCATGATATGAAAAGAGTGAAATACGTGCATGCCCTTTTAATTTGCAGGCTTCTGATGGAGTGAAAAATTGAAAACCATACATTTTAAACAAAAAAAAGCACCCCACAAGTGATTGATTGCATAAAATACAGCAGTGCCAGAGGCATTTGGTATTTCTCTTCTTCCTTACCAAATTCAGCAATGACAGAAATTTCCTACGTCCTTGACTCTTAATTACACAAATCAGTCTTTGCACAAACTGTTACACAGGTTAAGGCTGGTGTGATATTTGAAACAGATGAAAAGGTGAACGGGAGAGAGGAAAATTGACAGTTTGAAAGTGTTGCTATGTATTTCAAAATAAGCAAGAAATTCACTGGCTCAGCAGAATTCACTCTGCAGTCTTCCAAGTATCTGAAGATTGCTAAGCAGTGTATGTAATATTCTGCATCAAACTGCTGAGTATTTTCATATAGCCAAACCAGCTTATTATTCCATTTTCAAATCCATGATCTGGAAGTGGGAAATGTTAAGGAGAGGTTGGGATGAATTCAGTTTTATCATCATCATCATCATCACTTCTTGGGGCTGGCAAACTGAACCAGAAAGCACTTGCCTGGGTTTTTTGGAGAACTACAATGACAACTGTAATGCAGAGCAAGAGAGCAATGACTGCTGTTAGAACACATTTGCATGCTGAGAGTGCTAAAAACATATTTTTGAATAAGAAAATACCTTGTTTTTAAATGAACATGCAATTTCACACTGTTCTAATTGCAATTTTGAAAAATACCTCCAAGCCAAGCATTTTTAGAAATCTTCTTGTACTTTCTTGGTTTGTTAGCTCAGAACAGATGCTAAATATTATTAACCTTGTCTCATTCATACAGGCAGGGATTTTATTGTCAGTTACTGAATCTTGCAAATGAGAAAGGCCACATGTATTACGCAAGACTCTTCATCTGACAAGTGTAATGTAATTTCAATTGAATTTTGTATTACACCAGTAAAGCTCTGTTTCTGGTCTTCTGTGGCATGTTTCTGAAAGTTCTAAGCCCAGTAATAGAAGATTTACAGAACCTGGCTATTAAAGATTTTTCATGACTGAAGTAGGAAAAACGTTTAATTCTGTCACACTGGAAGCACAATCGTAGGGACTATTTAATTGCATTAAATCACTTCCTGACCTGTGTGCCATTAATACGGACTTCAGATGCTTTTAAAAATGTATCTTGGGTTATATTCATTTAAATAATCTGCACAGTTTTGTTTACTAGATCTGGGTGGCACAATCCATCCTTCCTCAGCCAAGTGTTCTGTGACTAAAAAATCTTAATGGCAGAAAAGCTCCCAGAGGACAGTGATTTTTTTTCCATTAAACGTATTTCAGGATGTAGGCAGAAAACCTTGGGTTTTGCGATCATGCTAATGGCCATCTCATTTTTCAAAAGAAATTCATGTAGTTTTAGTTAGGTACTTAACTTCTGTTTTAACAAGAATTAATTTAGAATAAGGACCTAAAATATGAAGCCTCTGAAACTTAGCAATCTTTAAAAAAATAATCCTTTGCAAAACGTCTTTGCCGAGTTCTGCATTTTGTTTTCTCAGAGTACTCTCTTCATCTGCCCAGTAATTTCTTATTCCTCATTTTCCTTGGAACTATGTGCAGTATTATTTGCTTTTGCATAAAGAACCTTTCTGCTCTGAACACTTGATGTTCTTCATTTTCTGCGGAAACCTCCTACACCCTCCCTCCACCCCCAAAAAATCCCCAACACCCATCAGCACAGCTGGAGATGCATCTTGAAAGTAAGAATGTGCAATAGTGGTGGGGTTACTGTGGCGAGGAATCACTTGTGCTTCTGAGCTAACAGAATTATGAACCGCCACATTAAATGAACGGCTGTTTGTTTTCCTCAGCTTTTATCCACTCTTATTTCTCTTTTCCTATCAGTGCACTGTGGTTTCTTCCTTTGTTAAATAATAGTAAAACCCAACCCTTCAACATGGAATTGCTAACTCAAGTTGTCTGTTGTTTCAGTTTCCAGCAGCCTGGCTGACGATGTTTGATGCTGTGCTTATTCTGATCCTAATACCCTTAAAAGATAAATTGGTGGACCCCATTTTAAAGAGGCATGGCTTGCTCCCGTCCTCACTGAAGAGGATTGCAGTTGGAATGTTCTTTGTAATGTGTTCTGCGTTTGCTGCAGGTAAGAAAACAACTTTGAGGTCTACTTGCATAGCTATTTATTCACCTACCTGCAACAGCATCTTTAAAAGCCTTTGTGAATCTTGAATTCAAGATTATTCACAAGTCTTTTTTCATGGGATAGTTGGAATGCAACAGCATGGATGCATTTCCCACAATGATTTTATCCAAAAACTTACTGAACTGTTTTGACCATTTGCAGTAGAATTGAACCATTTTTCCTGCCTGAAATAGACTTCAAGTAGACTTTTTAAAACACACTTGTTAGTTAAGGGCTGCACATACAGTGTTACTTTCTAGTATGCTTGGTAGAGGAGAACTATTTGTTTTCTGACCATATTTTCTCAACAAATCCATTAGCTTCATGGTCAGGGTTTGGGTTCCCTGAACAAAGTGTCCTGCATTTGGATATAAAGCTGTTAGTCCTCCTGAAATAAACTTTATAGTATTGTGGGAGTCCACGTTGTCTGATTTACTAACCATTTATCTTGAAGTTCAACATTTATTTATCCTGAAAAACAAATTAGTTCAGAAATAAATATGTTCCTTCGTATAGTGTGAGTTCTAAGTATTAAAAGAGTGAACTTTTTCCTAAAATCCTTTCCCTTGATCTGAAATAATAAAGTAGGTTATGGCCAAACAAGAGTTTCCTCCCACTTTGTTTTTTTTCTCCTCTACCTTAATGTTCCCCAATGTTTGGGAGTTACTGTAGTGTAAAACAGCTTAGCCAAGGCATGAAAGGAAAAAGAGGGCAACTCTGTTCGAGCCATAAATCAGCTGCTTTTGAGATGATTTAAAGTTGTTAAACACTGCTGATGTGGAACTGAACATCTCTGAGCAACGCTTCATAGAACCTATAGCCTTCGCCTAGAATCACTGTAATGAACATATTGATAAAGCATTATAGCATTAAATAAATTAATTTCAGCACTTGTGATCCCCTATATTTCAGAGAGAGGGACACTTTATACGGCTATTAAGATTTCTCTCAATGAGAGAGATAATTACCTTATTAGGCCAAGGTCACTTTCTATGTGGGCAAGTAAAGTTCTTAAAGCAAAGTCATTTAAACTTAAAAAAGGAATGTTTCTTTTATTCCATGTTACTTAGGATACTGCTACCAGCAACAGAAGATGATGTAAAACAGTTAAATGTCAGCTCTTGAAATAGAACCTGATGGCTCACATATAAGTGAATTCAAAACCAGCAATATCTGTCTTTATTAGTACTGGGGAAAAGCAGCATATCGAGCTATCATAGCTGAGTTGGGGAATGGTTTCCTATAGCAGATTTCTTAAAAATTTCAAGTGCCTTCTAGTTTTCTATTCACCTAGAAATGTGACTCATGATTTTGTTGGTTTGATCCTGCCCTAACTCTTCCACAGTTGAAGCTGAGAAGGTGAATTCTTTTTGGGTGGTTATCTGCAATCTGGTTGGAAAGTTTAACCTTTGGAGTAACACAACATCCCTTCATCATAACATGAATTTAAGAGCTTCAGCTGCAACACATTTGGGGCATAGGAAACTGTTTATTTCAACCATGGGGGAAAGCTGCTGTTGGTTTATACGTTTCATAAAATGTTTATTTTCTCATTAAATTATATTTATAGAAGCCATATTTTAATATTCTTAAAATACAACATTACTTCCAACCATTTCTGCTTTAGAGAGAGGTACTGATTAAAAGCTTAAATGTATGAAGATGTTTATATCTTAACTTGCAATTTTGGAAGTATCTTAATGATTTGTTTGTGCCATTTTAACTTACTTATCTAACTGGCATTAGTTCTGGACACTACTTAGGCTGCCTATTAGATTGTCTATTAGATTATTTTATATATCTTATAAACTGTGAGAATACAACTGATTAGATTTAATGAACATCTGCTGTGCTTCATGCATTTTATCGTAAATTCTGTGCAGCAGTATTTAAGGTTATTCAGCTGGAAAATCTACTTCATTTATAGACTTTAAACAGTTATATCAAGATTCTTTGAACTACTGAATCCAAGATGAAATTTGAAGCTTGTCTGTCAAAGGCTAAGAAAGAAGCAGTGGGTTTCTAGATTCTAAAGTACTTGGTTTTGAAGATAAACTTGTGGCAAAGTTTGGTATATGGTCGTTATGCTCCTATGTGGCTAAATGCCTCCTAAATCTGCTTATGCTGTGAAGAGCATCAAACACATTAAGGATCACTAGATGTTCTGAGGTGCAGTAATTTGGTGCTGAGTGTATGTGAATGAAATTACGTCTGAGTTCTTAGCTGGCTGTTTACATTTTAATGGAGTTCCGCTCTGAAATGTTTGCCAGCTATATTAAAACCTCAAGAAATCCCACTCTATTTGTATTATATCAGCTCTTTATAGTTCAGAGGGCACTGAGGTGGCTGCAGAGCTAAAGAGAGATACCTAAAAATAAGATGGGTAAGTGGTCACCTAAAAAGAAGTGAGGAAGGTAGAGAAAATATGGTTGCCTGGCACTAAGAGATACTAAGTTCAAAACAGACTTTACCTCAAAACCAGATGTTATGGAAGTAAACACTCATTTGAAGAAACATTCTGGGACCTCAAGGTAGTATTTTAACAAACTTGAGTAATTCTGTCCTGTTTTCCCTATACAATTCTTGTGTCTCAGAAGATGAGACTGTAGAGCTGTTGCGAGATTTCATACTTGAGTAGATTTTTGAATGGCTATGAATGAATAAACACGGGTTATACAAATGCAGCTTTCCATCCTTTTCAAAGTACTTTATAAGTCACTTGTTAATGTGTGCTCCCTCAGTCTGGTTTTCAGAGCTCTAGGTCTAACTCCCTACATGGTGAAATACAGTGTTATTCTTAAGGATGTGATTGCCAGAGCTTCTTGCTCAGTTACAGCCTCACCTACAGCCTGTGAATAGGGACTACAGGGAGATTTCCTCGTGCTTTCTTCTCAGCTTGTGTCTCTTGCCATGACCAGGACTAATAAGAAACTGCATGTTGTGGAATGACATAGTTTTGGCAAACATCAGTCATTTCCCTTGGAACTCTGTCACTCAGATGCTGATCTGGTTGGCCACCTCAGGGTTTGTACGTCACAGATTGGGGAAGAAACAGGAGAATGAATATTGTGCATCAGAAATTGCCTGTGCTTGTTGATATGAAAAGTGCTTCAGTAACTTCAGTCAACATCATATTAAATGCCCATGTCATCCTTTGGCTGCCTCTAGGAAAGAGAAAGCTAGAAGCGAGGCAGCAGATGTAATCACTTGTACATGGTATGATCTGCATGCAGCATCGTGTTTGTTATCTAAGCCTTATACAATTATTTTTGTAGAGGAGTGATATTTTGCGCCCCAAGATGAGGTCAGATCTTGGCTCAATAAGTAGAAGGAGACCAAAACTGACAGGCACTAAATGGGAGGCCATGTGTGTAACACATATTACAGGAAGGAGTGTCACTGACTCAGCCTTGCTTCTCTGGATTGGTGATGAATAAATCCACTTTCTTTTCAGGGCTATTAGGAGTTCTTTTATAGAGGTCCCTTCTGGGTGAAGAGGGGAGTTTGGTTAAGTATGAGCTATTCTGTGCATTTTATATTACAGTGAGGCAAATCCTTTAGTCTGGGCAACTTCAACAAAAACCCTACAGCATTATTTGATAGTCGCTTTCTGCTCTACACTGTTACATTGAGCAAGCTAAAAATTGTTACATTTTACACTATCATGTCTGGTTTTTATTCTACATGAAGTGCTTTCTATGCAGTGTATTGCTCATAAACCAAGCTTTAATGAGCTTTTGGATCTTTTGGGATGATAAGTGTCATAGAAATGTCATGATCATATTCACAGAAGGTTTTCATAGTTCTACAGGACTAGTGTAGCCATTTCAATAAGCACAATGGCTTCTAATTTGTTAATACTACGGTGGCGGATGCAACGGTTTAACACTGCAAAGCAGTAGTGTGTGAAAACAAGATTGTCTTTAAAAAAAACCAACATAGTTTATATGAGAAAGGCCTCAGCTAATCCATCTGGAAAATGGGTAAGTATTCGTATAATTATTGCTATTGGATAAGAATGTAGTCACTAATTCTATGGTGGAAGAACTGTATGTCTTAAAATAAAAATAGCAAAAGTAGTCTGAAATGCTTTATGTGAGGAAACAAGGAAATACATATTCCTATTTCATAATTTGTATTTGCAATGCAGGACTGATCCTAGCTTAATTCTTAATATGAAGAAACAGTGTTTGCATCTTAGGCCTATCTTATTTTTCTCTCCCCTCCCTGTAGGAATTCTGGAAAGCAACAGACTGAAAATTGTAAAGGTCAAAACAATTAACCAGACAATTGGAAATGTTACGTACCATGCTGCAGATCTGCCGATATGGTGGCAGATTCCTCAATATGTGCTGATTGGATTCAGTGAAATATTTGCAAGTATAGCAGGTAAGAGTCCTGGTGTTCTAAATCTGCTGTCATATCTCTCACAAGGGATGGATTCCTAGAAAAGAAATATTTACTTTGCAAATCATTATAAATAAGTTCTAATGTTCCCAAATGCAGTGTTATCCAATATAATTAATACAAGTGGCAAAGCACACATTTGAAAATCTATGTAAGAATATGTTTTCAAGACTGAATTTCAAGCAGAGCAACATTTAATATTTGCATGGTGCCCAGTTAGCATTAGATATTTGCACACCCTAGTGGAAAACAATATACTCTTTCAATATTGCATGTGAAAGATTAGCTTTAATGCAGCATGGTTTCCTCTGAATTCTCCTCTGTGCTACAAATAAAATTTGTGCTTTGTAGGTTTTTTTTACTTAAAAACTGAGCTCACAGTTTAGAAAGCCAGTTAGTCAGTGGAAACAGCTTTCTGAGGGGAAAAAGCAAGACACAGACCATCTTCGGAAAGATTTATCACCAGTTTAAATTCATGTTACCTGAGATTTTACATCTCTGAAATAATAAAAGTTATGTGCCACTTAATCTAAACTATATTTTGTGAATATTAATGATGAAATAGCTATTTCTGTACCACTTTATCTGCTGTATTTAGAGATGAGTTTTTCTATAACTGCTTTAGTACTTCAGTGCGATACTGGGGAAACTGAAACGCTTTGATTCTTGCCTTTCTTGAACAAATGCAAGAGATCTTAAATTTCTTAATAGTGTTCTGTGTGACGTGGTGAACAGCTGTGTGATCGTATTGATTTTAAGCTGAAAGTGGGAGGAGAGGGCGAGTAGCACTATAAAATCTTATTTTCTGGTCTGCTTCATATCCATGCAGGGCTCATTAGCAGGAAGGAAGCACAGGGAGTTTATCTGTTGTCACTGTGGTATGCCTAACGCTGGTTCATGATGATTGAACAAGTGAAATTCTGTTATGAATCTCTTAGTGCAGTGTTTGCGTATCCAGTGCTTGGGAGCAATGCTTAGTTACCAGGAACAGAAACCTTGCATCATCGAAGAAGTAGCAGTTCTGGTCCAACTTAAATAGAATTGCAGAGCTACCCGATGTAATACATTGGAGCTCCTCCAGTGGCTTGGTTTAAAAATAATGTAGTATTTGCTTAACTATAGTTACTTATTAATGTGGTTCGGAATATTGCCCTTTGAAGATCAGCCCTTCCAGCTGGCCATACATACGGCTCTTTTTCTTCGACCCCTCAGACTTTCCTGGTTTCGTTTCCCCTGCAGGAGGTTATTTCCATTCCTCACGCTGGGCAAGCACAGTGGGCTCAAATGAGATTCTCGAAGCCTGTAAGATCTTGCTGGCGGCAGCCCCAGCTGTCACACGGCCCATTTGTTCCCCTCTTAGTCAAACAGGGAACCTCTGCTCCACCAGGTTTCTGGTTGCGTGCCCTCTGCTGCCATCGTGGCTGTTAGGAAATGAAACAAGGTGTTTGGATGGCTTGGCAAGTAGAAGAAAATGTAGGGTTTGAGGATTTTTGGCTGTCTGCTCATTTGCTCTAAGCTTTTCTTCCAGCTCTCCAACCTGGGATTTCACGTGACTGGAAGAATTACACATATCCATCATGTATTAAACTCTACCTTAGTTATTGAACATGTTCCATTAAGTGTGAACAGTAGCCGTCCCAGATCCTAACACATATAAAAATCTGAAGATAGAAGTCTTGCTTAGTTGAGTTACTTATAAAAAAGGCTGCATTTAGCATTTTTATCAAAGGAGTAAAATGAGTTTGTGATGTTTAGTTACAACTGTAGGGATTGTGCCAATTAAATCTGAACTCAGACAAACAAGTGACTTACCAGAAATGCAAGTGTTCACGCAAGAATAAATACATTTCTCCCTCTTACGCATTCTTGTTTCCCTGTCAGTCTTTGTTACTGGTTTATAGGTGTTTGCAAGGAAAAAATAACAAACCTATCTGCAACTTGCTGAAAGGTCAAGGACTTGATGCATTCTGTTTGGTGACCTCCAAACGGAGGGTTGTTTTTTAAACTGCTTCAGCAGACTTCTTCAGATAAGTCGAGTCTTTAAGGCTTACACTGTTCTTATGTGAATACCCTGCTGTTCTGCGCTCCCTCGGTCTGTACCAACAGCTTTACAACTTCAAAACCTGTTGATCCATGTTAAGAAAAATGCAAATGCTTCTCTTCCTTTGAACGAGAATGTCTATGTAGGTCTTAATTGCTTTGTGTATTACACTTTCATTTGATTTGTTTTACAAAGCTTTCTTTCCTGCCTTCTGATTGTTATCTAAACTGAATTCTTAGTATCTTTAAGGAGGCCTCTCTAGACTTAATAGAGTATACTTTACCAATTTGATATTAAAAGTTGATAAAGCCATCTGTTGTGCTATGAAATCCAGCTTTAAAATAAGCAAAGTGTTAATGGTTACAAAGCTATAGTGATTTGGAAGCGCTTACTGTGAACAAAAAGGGACTAAATATCATAAGAGCAGAAACATCTGTTTGGTTTTTTTGTTTACTGGAAAACTGAGCATATTCTTATTAAGCCACATTAGTTACGCTTGGGGTACCTTTAAAAAGATGACACACATTGCATTAATCTTTTGTATTATTCTGTCAATCCTCTTAAAGCACTCTTATTTAACTGGGAATCGTAATCTCACATGACAACACCAACTAGAGGGTTTCATTTCAAAACTGCTTGTTTGAGGTAGCATGAAATCGTTATCAATGGCTGCCAGCAGGCAAAATACCTCTGAAGGCAAAGAAAAGATTTTATATTCTTTATGCCAGATTCAGTATTAGGATTGCTGGAAACATTATTCAGGTTTAGAAAGGTGCCTTATTTTGTTGCAAAATGTGCATAGTGTTACACTCATTTTGGTTCTTGGTTTGAGTCTTAAGATCTTTTCCCAGCAGTAACACACATTTCACAGATACACTGAACGGGAGCGAGAGAAGAAATGGGCCAGATCCTTTCATGTGATCCACTTGAGCTTCACTTGGACTGAATGTGCCAAAGGCTGGTGACCAAAATGTGGCTGACACTCTGGGGACTTGTGGCAGCTGTGATAACTTATCAGGAGATTAAAAACCAAGCTGCTGTATCCTGAGAGCAGGCTACGTTTTTCTTTTTTCTCTCTGAGTGAGATTGGCCAGATAAATATTCCTTGAAAAATCTAAATTGTTTTCTTAGTGACAAAGCATAGAAGACAATATTGAGTTTTTAATTCTCAAAAGAAAGATAATTTTGCTGCCTGCCCCCTTCCCCATTTGCAGATGTCTCTCCATCACTGTAGCGATTTGCTCATCATGGTTTGAATTTACAGGAACCCACACAGCTGAGAGGCACCAAGGCTGTTTCAGTTCCCTCCACAATCACAGACAGGTTGCTGTGGGCCCGCTCTGGTGTGTTTTGTGAAGGAAAAGAGAAGCAGTGCGTTGGTTAGCAGAGATTTCTCAGGTGGCAGCACAGGATGCTGTAGATCCGTGAGAACAGCCAGTTCTGTTTCTGCTACAAGAACAAAGTTCCTCCCTCACAACAGGCAAACTGACTTTGGCTTGAAACGTTAAGCCTTTTCTTGACAAGAAATGCCAGTCTATTTCTATTAAACTCAGTCTGGAGTAGCAGAAGTCAAATAGCAGTACAGGTGTAAATAACACATACCTTTATTATGCGAGACATAAGATTTGTGCCATTTGCAGGCCTGTGATGCTCTCTTTGCCAAGAAAAATGCTAGATGAGTTAGCATTAATTTTCAGTATGAAGCAGACTGTTTTGAAACAAGCATTTCACCTGTCAGAGGAAAAGCTCTACAAAGAATGTATTCGACTGTGTCTTGTGAATAATCCCATTTGATTTTTGACAGGGGTATTATTCTAAAAAGGAGAGTTAATCAAGGGCATTAGTCTTTGCAAGGCAGAGCCTAGACCAGCGTGTTCTGTGGTACTCACATTCAGTAGCACGGGTTTTCAATTTGATGTCACTGGTACATTTTTCTTGGTTTTCTTGGCTGAAATTTGAGTAAGGATAGTTTAAGATTGAAGTCTCATTTCTACAGAGAACGGGCTAGCAAGCAACGAGCTCAGAGAATTCTAGATCAAAATTAAATTCAAACTAATTGCTGCCTTTCCAGCTACAATTAATTCCTCTGTCTGCACGTTCAGAGATGCAAACACTGAGTCTGTAAGAAATAAATGTTCGTGGTCAATGTACAAGGGAGCGTCAGTTCCCGAGTGCGTTGTTCTCAGCAGGGAGTGCCGTGTGCTGTGAAATACTGCACAGCAGATAGGCCATATTGAAACAAGGGACATGGGGAACACGGAAATCGCCAGGTTAGTTAGTTTAATACATTTCGTTGAGGATTATTTTAGACAGAAAAATGAATATGCTGCCTCAGAAGATTTCTTGCTCTTACACGTGTAATATTAATAAGATCGAAGTGAGTGTCTCGAATGTTGTCCATTTAATGGGCTGATATATTGATAACCTTGAACAGGGTCCATAAAGCAATTGGAGGGAGCTGGGAACTGATAGGGATTCACTACTTCAATGCCCTGTCTTCTGAAACCCAAGGCTGGTTTAGTAGTATAAAACTGTAACTTCTCTGTCACTAAACTGTAATGAAAAGCTGCTGTTTCTTAGATCTTCCAACAGCATTTTTTTATCTTTCAATACAGGTCTAGAATTTGCATATTCAGCTGCTCCCAAATCTATGCAGAGTGCTATTATGGGGCTGTTTTTTTTCTTTTCGGGGATTGGATCGTTTGTTGGCTCTGGATTGCTGGCACTGGTGTCTATTAAAGAAATTGGCTGGATGAGTAATCACACAGATTTTGGTAAGTTATTATCAATGTATTCATGGTCTACGAAGTCAAAGGCTTCCTTCAGAAGCACTTAAGCATCAAGCATGTGGAACTGTTGAGTCTCAGCACAGTTATTATGTTTAAAATACAGATTTGTCTGCTGTTTTGTTGAAGTTTCATTTTGATTATGAGTGTGAAGTAAGGTGAGTGTGTAAAATGCTACATGAAAGCATGGGAAACACCCATGTGGTATTTTGCCTCCAAGGTTTGCTGCACTTCATCACTAGAATTTACTTATAAATTTTTGTATTTTAGTAAAAAAATACTTAAATTACGTGTGGAAGAAGAATACATTTGGTATAAAGTACTGAAATTACTTTCTGCGGTAAGGGGGAGTAAAATGTACCCATCTCTCTCTCAGTGGTTATTCAGCTTCCTAGTTTCAAGAGACTTCATCAACATCACCATGTGTTAATTTTGCCTCTCTAGTCTGCTAGCTGTGTGTACTCTTTACAAAGTCCAATGTGTCGTCTGCTTTGTATTGCCGGTTGAAGTTAAAAATAATTATTGGCACCAGTAGGTGGCACCTAGGGAATTTCACAAAAACATACCGTCACCAGTGGGTTAATTAGTTCCAACAGAAGGAGCAGGAAAAGCTCTTAAAATGTGTGCTAGACCTACTGGGTATACACAGCTTAAAAGTGCAGCCTAAACTTACTTGAAATTTGGTGGGAGAGAATTTGCCATTTAGACTTGATTTGCACGCTACCAACAAGTAACGTTGTCTGGAACAGTACATATGGCACAAGTGGTCACCTCTGGTTTATAAGTTGTTCTCTAGAAAAAAATGCAAAAGATGACAAGGAGCCTTAACTTTACAGAATTGTCCTCACCAAATGAAAATTTAATCACACTGAGGCTTTTTTCCCCCAGTCGATTTCAGCATTAGAAGAGCAACTTTTTTTCAGCACTTCTGTATAAAGATAATTCAGTTGATAAGGGCTCAAGAGGATGACAATAAATTCATGCAAATTAATGTATGTGGTATTTGATTCAGTTTTCTAGTCTCTTGCCTTTGTTTTCTGAAGCAGCCTAAGAGAAGACAGTGCCTAATATTCTCTCTGTAAAATATTTAGGTCGTGCTAAATATATCCAGAGCTGGCTAGGACTGGGAGATGTTACCTTTCATGACTCACTGGTCATCTGCTTTGAATCAGCTCCTCAGCTCAGTGGATTGTCCTCTGGACAGCTGTCTAACTGGATATTTCTACCCGTTTTAGTCCAAAGACTCAATGTGCAGTCGAGCCTTCTTAGCACCTACACATCTGGCTCAAAGTTGAAGCACCCAGTGGGGTCATTTCAATTTGTAGCATCCATAGCAGCTACTGGTTGGACTGTTTATGTCAGTAACTGTTCATAACTCAGTTTTCATTTGCTATAACGTTATTGAAAGTTATCAGATTCACATCTAAAATTTATTTAGGTCTTCCAGAGTGGGAACTGTAAGGAGTCTTCTGAATTTTTCATTAGATGCTGTATAATAACCATAAGCACATGCACCAAGTCTCTGCTATTTATGCTAACTTATGATCTCATTTGAGGTACCTGACTGCCTCCAAAATCTACTGAGAAAGTTCGCTCTCTGCTGGCACTTGTCTTGGTTGCTGCCATTGAAACGACTGTTATAACTCTAACAAAACCTAAGATTTCGTGCGCTAAATATCCCATCTCATAAAGGATAATTACTACTCTTTAAACACGTCTGCTCTTGAAACAGAGATTCACATGTATATTGTATTTTAAATGTCAAGGAAAGACTCCATTTAATGTTATTGCGTTTTATTAGAAGTTCCTTTAATTGAATCTTAAGTTTCAGTAATTAAAGTAATTTAATCTGAACACTTATAGGCCTGCTGCATGAACAGCTTGTTAGGATCGATGTATACTTCACCATTTTTACTGTCTCTAACCTTTTTGATAATCATAATGGTCCAATTGGCTGTGGCTCATGTGGCATGTTGGAAACGAGCCACAGTATATTGTTCTTGGAAGTACAGCAATAGTTAGTCCACATTTCCTAATAGAGGAATAATGTTTTAGCAATGAGCTTTCTTAATTTAACATTATTTAATGTGGTACAAGTCACTAATTTATGGCAACTTGGTGGGAGGAGTGTCCGAGGTGAATTGAACCAAAAAGAAACCACGTATGGTTTCATGAATTGTAAACTTGGTTCCAAAGGCGGCTGAGAGGCAATCTCAGTAATTGCTTGCTTTACATCTGCAGAGTTGCCAAACCTTTTCCTTAACAGCATTCATTTTTTAACTCTATTTTTCTTCGACTTAGCAGGGAAGGGAGGTACAGGCCTCCAGATGCAGCAAGACCGCACAGTATTAAGCAGGGCTGAAAAGGTTACTGGAGTAGAAACTCTAGTATATATATAGCACAAAAAATACAATACTTTCCCCAGTTTTAATTAAGCTGTAAAATGTAAGATACTTTTTTCATTTCCTAACCAAAGCCTGATCACTGCAGGGTATTCTCCAGGCTCCTTAAAAGCACGTCTAGTGAAGATGGTAAAGGCTTTAAGTTACTGGCCTGGATGAGCGTAGCTTTGTTTCCAGCTTGAATGTGCTTTTCACTGGGAGCTGTTTCTGAACAGAAATTACTTTTTTCGAGTCCCTTTAGTAGCCACAGCACAGGGATGTTTTCTTTTTTTATTCTTTTTTTTTTCCCTTTTGAAATGAGCCGTCTCCTCTAAAATGGATGTGATCCCTATGACTTACATTACAAAGGAAGTAAATCATACATGAAAATACACGCTGAGGTTTTTAGCTGTTTTATCTGGAGTCAGCAAAGCGTTGCAATTTTGCAGCATAAGAAACCAGACTTAAAACAAGGGGGCAAAGGGGGAAGAAGGGAAGATTTTGAGCCACTAGGGCTGTGTGCATCTTCTCAGAAGTGCCGTCTTTGCTCTGGATAATTACAAATGAAGCTATGCTGTCAGATGGAAATGTGGTTTGGTTTGGTTTTGCCCATGTTTTGCAGGAAAGTCTTCACTATTTAAGCTTGAGAGGGTTGACATTTTTATTTGTATAATCATTATTAATGTTCATTTCTTTTCTCCCCAATTCTTCCCAGGTAACATTAATGGCTGCCAATTAAACTATTATTTTTTCCTGCTGGCTGCTATCCAAGGAGCAACCCTCTTGCTGTTTCTCATTGTTTCTGTGAAATACGACCATCAGAAGTCAAAGGTTAATGAAGTTGCTGCCAATGGGAGGATCTGATACCTGTTACAGAGCAGACTTTGTTACAGCAGCACACGAGGAAGTGGCAGCGCACTCCGAGTCTGCGAGATCTTACCTTTTCTCCAGTGAGGCTCTTACTAGACTTGCATGTTACAAGAGCTCTCGCCCCTGCCCCGCTCTCCTGTACCGTAGGTAAGTGCCTTATGTTGGCAGGGCTCATTTATTGCACTACGTCCTGGAGGAGGACAAACCCAAACCTTGGAAGTGTGTGAACTCTAGGCATTCAAGTCGCTCTTTGTTACTCGTGAGATGTTTACTTAACTCTTCAAAGTTGGGACACTTGCACTTGGAAATGGAGCGTAACAAGTTTTATGTGACGTGGGTTGGTCCTGACTGGAAAGCTCTGCTCAGTGAAGAGCAGCGGATCTAGAGAAACACTCGACAGTCTCAAGCCTACACCGAGGACACAGGAAACGTGTTACAGAATCCTCAAGTAGTGGCTACAAGAATAAATTTTCACTCCTGAGAGTCATTTTGTGTGGGAGAAACAGGGCCAAATTAAATTGCAGATTAGCTCGGATTAAAACTAACTGTAGTTTTATAATGCACCTTTCGTTGGCAATGTCTCAAGGATTTAAGTCCAAACTTGCAGTCAGGAGTGCCCAGTACTGAAGAGTGGTCTCACAGTAGCTTGTCCTGTAGCTGCTGAAAGTTCTGGTGCACAACGAACACTTGTTGGGACTGACATGGTTTTAATTTTGAATCTGCATTAGTAGTATTGGGGCAATGTGGAAACATTCATCTTTTGACAAAGCACTGTTCAGTCTAACGCTGTTACTTCCCTAAGGGATATTCTGAATATTTGCAGTAAGAAAACTGAGGCTGAGTTCTCAGCAGACGAATGCACAATAACAATTTAGAAGCCTTTCAGCCAGTTCCTTCAGTCTTGTGTCTTACTCCTAGCTAACATGCTACAGGGTTTGTATCTTTCGGCAACACATTCCTATAGCAGAGCGAGTGGTTTTATGGTCAGCCTCTTGAATTTTAATGGTCTAACAATTGTACTTAAGATTGTCTGCAGACTGGTATGGAAAATGCAAGGAATTAATGCAGAAAGAAAATAAAAACTCAACTTTTTATTAATGTGTTGAATTTTTATAGTTTCCTTTGTCTGCATTTACATTGTTAAAATGTCCTTCTTTTGTACACGGACATCTTTTAATGGGTTTACAAAATAAAATGAACTTCCATGCTGTGACTGTTGACCTTTTGTTTCTAGGTGAATAAAATTATACTACAAAAACTCTGTTCTTCAGCCTTTGCTTCCTAAATACACAGCGGAATGCTATGGGATTCCTAAATGTACGCTGGCATCCCATTAGTTTTGTCAGATAATACAGCAGCGTTAAAGGTGTCCTGTCTTTGCCAAGATAAATCAGCGTAGATGCTTCAGCTATTGCACTGCTTAGAGGGATTAAAAATGGGAATAACTGAAGAAAAGGAGCAAGCACTATCTCATATGAGGAAAAGGTAGTTTGTTTCTGCAACATCCCATTTACAGCCAGCTAAAAAGACCTAATATTAAGCTGGTTTAAGCTACATAAGGAATATATAGGGACCAAATAACTTACTTCTTGAATGTATTCTGATTTAGTCACACACATCTGATATGGGGAAGAATCTCTAGTGTTCTGTGTTTATTAATTTCCAAAGCATGTACAATCACAGGAGAGAGGTGGGTTGTGCCTGCAAAGTGGTGTTCTACCAGGTTTATCAGGATTTTGCTTTTAGAGGTGTTCTTCTGAAGGACTGGTACTGCTCTCAGACCCTCCAAGAGGAGGTGTCAGGTGTAATCAGCTTTGGTGTCTGTGTGCTTACCCTTTTCTGGTAAATGAACTTAATTAATTTCACTTTTGTCCCCCAAGATCTAAAATTTTTCAATAGCATTCATAAATTTCCCATCTGATACGGGTCTGTCAATTATAGTTACAGCTGAGTTTAATGAGGAATGGAGAGTCATCTACAGGTTACTCCAAAGCAACTAGGTGTCTAACAGTAACTGTGACAGTCTGTGTGGGCAAGCCTCAGGGAAACTATTATTTGAGGCAAAATATAATGAATAAATACTAGGTTAGCCTACTCAATATTTATGCAAATGTCTTTCCCGTGTTACAAGCATACAGCAAATCCCAGCATGTTTCTGTAGGGCTCTGGTAGTTCTAAGGCTCTGGAGATGAGACCGAACGTGCAATCAGTTGTATAATTTAATTTTTATTTGGAATGACTTGGCTGAGCTCCAGGCACAAGTAATTATGACCATTTATGAAGATTAATCTGACACTTCTCATCAAAGGGATAAGGCCTTTTTGTGACTCACAGGCTTAGCCGATTCCTTCTCCCCGTCTTATCCTTTAGCGTTTGCACTCCAGTCACAGAAATAAAGACTAATCAATTAACTTTGTGACTGAGCACTGCGCCTCATTAATGAAATACCTTGAAGTGTCCAGTTTGAATTTGGTTACATTCACTTCTTAGACCGTTCCCGTGCCATAGAAAGATCTGACGGGAGTCGCCCCATGGATGTTCTAAGCCTCTGCCTTTCCTGGTGTCTTCAGTTCAAAGCACAACATTGAAAAGTAAGTGCTGGTTCAACATAAAAGCAGGTATCTGATTAAAGTTCAGTGCTTTTACTCAAAGAATTACGAGCAGAATAACCGTGTACTTATAATGCCTATGCAAGCTATAATGTAATCGTGTGTGAAGAATAGCTGCCTGGGACCCTGTGTTTCCTTTGAGATTATGCAGTGGATGCATTGCTCGTGTAACTGTGGATGTCTGAAGAGTAGAGCAAGAGCTGCTTTCTCACACCTTTGTGTCTACCTATTCTGTACTGAATACCCCTCCTCAGAAAAAAGGAGTCTTTTTCATTTCTTCTGCTTACCTAAACCTCCAGAGCCAGTTTAATGACAGTAGTTGAGGCATCCGTCGGTTATTTCCCTCAAAAGTCTGTACTGAACTGAACTCTGCGAGTTCTTTTTGTTTTTTGGGTTTTTTTAACACAAGTTGCTCAGGGCTGACGCTTGTCAGACAAGGTTTCAGCTTAACAATAAACCCGTATTAAAAAAAGGACAGAGTTCTCTGCATTTTTTTGTGTGTTTGAAATTGCTTTTTGAAAAACATTCTCCTAGCGATTTAGTTTATATGCAGGGCAAGCTACATTCATGCAGACGAGCCCTCTGGGGAAACCGCTTACAATGCTTTCCATTTAAACAGTGGATAGCATGAGGTGCAAATTCACCTCGGAGGAAGCAGAGCAGTTGTAGACTGACACCGGTGGAATAACGCACATACCTGAGAGCACGATACCTGCCGGCCCCGGAGCAAGGATGCACCTGCAGTGAAAGAACAGACGAGAACGCAGGTCGGAAGGTATTCAACAATAAATACGTAAATACACGCTCTGCTCCAGGTGGCACCACGTTCAGAACAGCCATGAGCAGTGCTTGCAGTCAGGATTGCCCAGTGACGGCTCCTATCAGCTGGCTCTTGGCTGCTTTTTCATGTCAATACGGTTTAATAGTCCTCTCCCTCTTGGAATTAATTTTTCCATGACAGTATTCACAGCGTAGATTCTCTAAGTCAGTGGAAAGCATAGTTGTCAAAGCCTAGTCACTTAGTAATTGAATCCACTTACAGTGGTTTCCCAACGAGCCTTACGACGTGACTTGTATCCTCTAGCCTAGGGTCTCTGGTGGACTTGAAAGATCATAACGAAGGATGAAAAACATAACACTTCTACAGGCATGGAACTGGGAATTAATTGCAGTCCATTCCCACCACCTTCATTCTGCCAGGGGCTGTGGTAATGCTTGACAAAAGAGCTAAAATAACTTCTTGTATTGAGGAATGGTCAGAACAGCAAGAACTAGGAAGTTTACCTTACTTTATACCCTGAAGGATGAAAGCTCACTTTTCTTTCCATTCTTTGATTAATTCCATACTCCATTATAGGTGCTTTTTATTATCTTTCTTAAACATGCTTCCTTTAACAGGACATTCATACACTGAGTAAGTTCAAAATACATAAGATAAACAAATGGAAGTCTGTGCTCAGCTGAGCTGTGACTGCATCTTCTGTGGACAGTCCTGAGCTGGGTACAGTTGGAAGAACAGCAGCACGGGTTGGTCTGGGTGATGCTGGGCTGGCTCTGCTGCTGTGGAGCAGGCGACAGTCCATGTCCATGTCCCCAGCATCCCACCAGCAGCCTTCACCCTGGTCTGCAGACACATTGAGGCCGCAGTGCAGCCGCGCTCCAGCCCTGTATTCCTCCTCTGCTGCACAGCTACCGTACAGTATTTTACTGATAAGACTTCTCATCCCTCTTACTAGGAAGTGTTAGTCAGTAATGAGATTTAGTGATACAACAGAGCCCATAAATCACTTTTGACAGGGAATAGAACACTTTAATGAACAGGGGAAAACAAGGTAAATATTGCTTGGGCTTTTGAAGATGAAACTTTGAGTAGATAACATGCTTTCTGAAAGCTGTGAAATATACCTGACTATCTCTGCCCATGTAAGGCTGTACATCACAATCTCTTCCTATCTACCCA